CGCCAAAAATATATAAATGCTATATTGAATGTTTCAGTGTGTCAATTTTTGTCAGTAAGTTGTAATATCAACATAACTATGTCGGATCAATAACTAATTAATAAGAAGTTAGAATTAAATAGTTAAACATCATTTATTATAGTATGTAATATGAAGAATATTATACTATTTATTTATGAAACAATTTTATCATCACCTATAAGTAGTAATATAATTATATAATGTACCTACTATGTGTTCAATTAAATCCGTTTTTTATGGTACTTTTTAAAAGTTATTTATACTTGGTTTATTTTAGTTTGTTTATTAAAAGGCTTTATTAGTACGTAAAAGATTAGTAATCGTATTAAAAAAATATATATTATTTTAATTATCTTAATATAGTATTAATATGATATATGCGTACGATGCACTCAACACGTTACGATTAAGTGCAGGACGTGGACATATAGATACTCTAAGTTGTTTTGTAATATCAATAAAGTCTTAAAAGTTCTATCAGTAGTTACATAGGTATGTAAATTATTTATACCAATAAATCCTAATTATAGAATAAAAATATTATCTCTGGACACTGCCCATAAAATTAGTCTAAATCATTTTAGAAAATGTTTAATGACATTTTCWTGTGAATAGTGAATATAAATTATTAGATTGTTGTCATCACTGTTAACACATTTTTTATGTTAACTATTTTATACTCATTCGTTTCAATAGAGTAAACGTAATTAAAAAAAACTTAAAGCCTAAAAATGATCATTACCTATCATTAATAATTATTAATATCACGAAAATCTACAAAATAAACTTTTTAATTAATTGTTTTTGTGGAATATGTGTTTTAAACCCAATGAGTAAATAAGATTATCATTAAATTGAATAATGAATAGCTYCATAGAAGAAAACAGTATGAAGGAAGCCATCCATATTGATATAACCCTTTAGGATAGATGTTGTTTGTTTAATCATACATTCATACCACCACTAATTTAGGAGATCACGGCACCAGTTCCGTTTGAGGTGACAGGATGTGAATATGTGTAGATGTGAAGTTAKAGAGTTTGGACGGTGTTGAAGTTTTTATGGTGAAACCAGCCACCAGGCACCAGCTATCGTAGCAACTGTTGATTAGTTGGTGAACTGTAGTTTCAATTTTTAAATCTTTATGCCATTAACCAAATTATGAGTCAAATTACAACCAGGGGGGTGACTAGGCGAAGAGTGATGGACTGGACGCTGGAAGACTTGCAAGATGGTGTGGGTGTGAGATGGTTTTGGCACACCCACATTGTTAAACTTTAAAATTATCAATATCGTGTAAAAACAAAGTTAACGTTTATGGGTCAGCGAATCATGAAATAATATTATAGACTATTACCGTCGGCATCTGTGGTTTATCCACATAGTTTACGGAGCTCTGCAACCTCAGCGATTCTTGTAGGTAGGGCAGGATACGAGACTGCAACATGTGCTGGTAGTGTTGCTGGTACAGTATCGGTAACTGATGGAACAGGGCGATGGCTGACAAGTTCTGCGGCACAGGAGGCAGCGACGCTATCGCCTCGGCCAACATGTTACGCTGCTGTTGATGACTCGGTATGGTCGGCTCTTCGTTCTTCATGCTGTCCACTGCGGCTACGGTACGGCTTGGATGTTCCGGTGAATGGAGTTGGCCCCCGCGGTTCATCTGCAACAATTTTATACATGTCAGTAACACACGTCGTTTGTGTCATCGCTGCAGTCATCGGAGTGAACGACTGCAGTTTTGATCGACAATATTAAAATATATGAATGACAACTAAATATAGAGTGACGTCGCAGACTGGCCAGAAACATATATTGATCGTAGAGCGAATGTAAATGTAATATTAATCGACGTCCGATGTCATAATAACACATGCTCTGCAAAAGATACTCCCATTGGTTAATCCTTAAGTATTCAATGGCAAGGATTTTCTATCCGATTATTTTAAGTAAAAAGAAAACTGATAATTAAACGTAAATAAACTTTCAAGTATATACCAATTTGTCACATAATTATTATTGAGCGTATTAATAATGGTTTATAAATGTATCTAAATTCATACATCGTATCAATGTTTTGAAAATGTGAAGTACCTACCTATATGA